TATAGATGAGAACAAGACTGGTGACGACAGGATTAGTGTTTATTGTGTCAAAATCCTACGTGAATTAAGAAAATCTCAGACCGTACAATAATAGTGAAATAATTTTCAAATCCTAATGATATCTTTTCTCTCTCTCTTTATATTTACTCAGGTATCTCACTATCAACGGAATAATTTTAAAAGAGGTCATTTCCTTCACTTCCATAGACAGTGACACATTTCAACTACAGGCACACCACGCGGATGATTTTGATGATGATGCTGTCAAAACCAGAACTAGAAAGTCAAAAGAGACCTTCACCCAATCTGAAACCATTTCGGAAATCTTCTACACTCCGCAAGGGCATAAATAACAAAGTTCAGATTCTCAGAACCAATGTTAATTCAGTCATTTCTTCTATTATATATGGTTCAGAGACTTGGCTCACGAGTTACCAAAAAGCAATTCTAACAGGCTACTGAAGAGTCTTATCAACACCTGACTTCATATGGAAGACCAGAAAGAGGCGCAATCATTGAACACCTGGTCGATAATGATCCCCTATGTCTACAGCCTCCGCCCTTAAAATTATCCACAAGGCGAAAAGTGAGAAGTCGTGACCAGTAGGGTGCAGCAGGTCGGGTGTGAGGACAAATACTTGCCGAAGACATTGGCTACCGGTTGTGATATATCGTGAATTGGCAGAAGTTAGAATTCATGGGCTGGCCATTGGATCGGGTCCCAGTGGCTTAATGGTATACGAGCTCACCTTGTAACCAGAAGGTCCTGGGTTCGAGCCGCGGTTGGTGTGTACTGATGAAGAGTCCCCAACTAGGACGAAACAGCTGTCCAGTACTTCCAGGTTTTCCAATGGTTCTCTAACTGATGTCAGCTCATGATAAAATCCTGTAACCAATCAATCAAATCCCTACAAACCAACACTTGAAAAGTAATTTGCTCAAATCACTACGTACCCTACTCTTTATTGCTGAAGCTTTGACCGTCGAAACAGAAAAGCCAGATCTCTGCATACAGAAAATGTTCGTTTAACCCCTCCAACTTTCATGGTCTTAATCCCTATATGCATGCTAAAGTGTGATTATCGAAAATTACAGATGAATCGAATACACGTGTCAATGAAGAGACTGGTGGGTGAAATCACGCATGCCAAACCAATCTCTCCCTCCACAGTGCATACAGGCGCAAGGCTGACATGAAGGAGATAAGAGACTCTGAGAATCCAGCGGGGCCATTCAAACAGGATTGCAGATAACAGAACAAAATGGAAGATGCTCACTAGTGACTTCCTACAGGATGGAGTTTCCTGGAGTTCTAGTGAGAAGTCGTGACCAATGAGGTCAATCCAGTCAAATGTGATAATGGATGTCCCACCAATGACATTGGTTGGTGATCGTGCTAAATCCCGAATTGGTAGAGGTTAGAATTCATGGGTGAATCGGGTCCCAGTGGCTGAATGGTACACGAGCCATCTTGCCTTGTCACCGGAATGTCCTGGGTTCGAACGCTGGAGGTGGATGCGTACTGCCGATGATTCCCCAACTAGGACGAAACAGCTTTCCAGTACTCCTTGGGGGTCTTCAATGGTTCTCTAACTGATAACAATCCATGATCAACTCATCAAAAGAAATCTAATCTTTTTGATGTGGTTGTGTTCTCTGAGCTGGATAGTTAATTTGCGAAACTTTCATCACCCTACTAGGTGACGTCTCCAGCTTATACTTCAATTCGAGGAAGTGAGCTTTTAGATTTCTCCACGAGTTTATTAATCATCTCTTCCAAAAGAATGCATATCCACGGAATTTCATCAAAAGACATATACCCCCCAGGCCAACCTATCAAACCAAAAGCCCCCAAGGAAAGCACAAAGAAAATAGACCTACCATATGTAAAGGACATCTCAGAAATCACTGCAAGACTCTTCAAACCTTTCAGAATTGACGTCGCACACAAACCAACAAAATCACTTCACTCAATTCTATGTCAACCAAAAAACTCAACAGCGAAGGAAGATAAAACCAACATCATCTACAAAATAAATTATGGCGACTGAGAAAAACACGACATTGGCCAAAGTGGACGTCCCGGTCTTCGTCTTCGTATCCACGAACATAAGCTGACCGTCTAAAGACATGACATCCACTCCCTCATATCACTACATACAGACAACCAAGGACATCAATTCGACTGGGACAACGTTCAAATATTAGACAGAGGAAACACCAAGAATGCTAGAGAATTTTTAGAAGCCTCGTATTTAAGTGAATTGTCAATCAATAGACACATCGAAATAGACAAAATTTATCAACCGATAAGAAAGAAACGTCACACACAAAGGGTCAAAGTTCAAGCCAAAGAAACAATGAGTGACAATACAAGTAACCTAGAAGGTGTGAAAACACACAAAAACAACCAATCACATCTAAGGTCATCGGGAGAGATGATTAATAAACTCGTGGAGAAATCTAAAAGCTCACTTCAAATTGAAGTATGCGCTGAAGATGTCACCCAGCTTCGCAACTTAACTATCCAGCTCAGAGAACACAACCACATCAAAATCATCCACCTGAGCTACAAATCTTCTCCATCATATCGTCGTCGTCGGTTTTCGACATAGAACTTTGCACATATGTGCGGCAGTTCAAGTCGCCACAATCTATATAGCACGCAAAGCAAGAGAAGGAAGTAGAAGAAATGCATAATATAGACAGTAAACAGAGGTGTGAGCCAAAGGAGTAGTAATAACGGAGAACAAAACAGTTTCATTGGAAATCATAAGTCACAAGGAGTGGATGCATCTGCGCCACTGAGAACGATTTTGAGCCATGTCACCAATTGTTTCCAACCATTGGTTTTTACCATCCCGAGGGCCCCAACCAGGAAGTCTACATCTTCCTACGTGGCTTAGATTAACTGTTGTGGATTTCATTGATTGGTGCCATGTTATCGTTTGACCGCCGCTAGCTCTTTTCCAGCCTGGCCCTATATCACCTAACATTGCCCATTGTCGAGGAAGGCGATGACTAGGCATACGTAACACATGTCCTAACCATCTCAGTCAAAGTAATTTCACCGTTTCGTCGACTGATTTCCCCTCCTTACCTAGCACTCGACTTGAAGCCTAACGTCAATATTGCTCACCTTATTATACCACTTCACGCGGGAGATAGAACGTAGACACCTATGATCGAAGACAGCTAATCTTTTCATGTCTTCCACTCTCAATGGCCAGGTCTCACAGCCATAAAGGAGGACGGAGCGGACTGTTGAGCAGTACACACGCCCTTTGGTCGATAGCCAGTCGGATATCGCGTCTACGCCAGAGACGGCGTAAACTGGCGTATGCGAACCTAGCCCTCTGTATTCGTGCTGAGATTTCGTCTGAGATCAACCCGTTGGGGCTGATGGTACTTCCCAAGTAATTGAAGCGGTCAACGTGTTCTACCACTTCGCTTCCTATTTCTAATCTAGGGGTCAATGAAGTCCAATCCTGCAGCATCATCTTACATTTTACAGGGGCGAATAGCATGCCAAACATACGGAGATTGTTGCTCAGGGTGTTCAGTAGACTCTGCATTTTGTCAGAGTCCTCGCCTAGAAGGACTATATCATCCGCATATTCTAAGTCAACGAGATTCTTCCCTGGTAGCAAGTCAATCCCTGAGTCGCTGAAGTGTGATAGGGTTAAGTCCATTAGTACATCTATGATGAAATTGAATAGGAATGGGGATAATGGGCATCCTTGACGGACGCCACTAGTCGTCACCACTTCAGATGACAACTCGCCATAAGCCCTCACTTGGCTGCATGAGTACGAGTAGAGTGCCTTAATCAGTGCAATGTATTTTCTCGGTATTCCCTTTACAGCCAAGCATCACCAGAGAACCTCACGGTCGACAGAATCGAATGCCGCCTTTAGGTCAAGAAATATAATATAATATAGAAATATAATCCCTACAAACCAACCAATGGAAGATGCAATGTTGAAGCCCTATGTTTCACACTTGGAACCCGAGGGAATAATAATAGTAATGAACGATAACTTATTTCTTGTCAATATTTTTATTTGGCACCTTAATTCAAAGAACGAAAAACAAATGGTAATAATGATAGTGAGTAAGTAAGTAAGTAAGTAAGTAATAATAATGATAATGAGATGTAAGTAGGGAGAGAGAAGGAGAGAAAGGGAGAAATAACTGAACACACTACAATATGTATATATTAGGTTATATAATTACAACAGCCTCATGACAAGAAAGACAGGATGTAGCACCTCTTTCTCTCTCTCCCTCTGTCTCTACATATGATTGCGCAATAAACTAAAGTGAAATATATAACGTAACCAGAAATTAAAATTAAATTAAAAAATAATAGTAATAGTAATGATAATAATAATAAATAATCTGGAAATAATGAAACACCACTAACAACAATTAATCTGAGAACAAACAAACAAACAAAATAAATGGGGAGGACATAAAAAGAGGAAAATACGTATATATCTGTGAGTAATCTCATAAACCAAAAGAAAAATGTTTTTATATCTAGAAGATATTAGATAGTGAAAAGAAATGAATCTCTCAGTTGTATATATGTGTGTGTGGTGGGGCGCAGAGCAGGGTGTAGCTACCTAGCTAGTTAGATAGTTTGGGCGGAGGCTAGAAATGAGCTGTGAAACAACATATATATATATATATATATGGCTAGAGTGTTAATGTGAATGTTTCGACATTTATTCGCCGTCGTCGATATGCACATCGTCTTCATTGAAGCCTTGGAATTAATGCATACACAGAGAGAGGGTTAGAGTTAGTGTCAGTAAGAGAGGGAAAGAGGCGAGAAAAGGCAGACGGAAGGTGACAAATAATACATGAAAGCACGAATACTGTTCAAAACCACTATAAAGCAATAATAATAATAATTTCTCAAATGGAAGATACAGAGGAAACAACTACTCTCTTCTTCTATAACACGTCAAGTATTATAAGATTATGAAAGATTAGGGTAGTGTAGTGTAGTGTAGTGTGATAATCGAGGGAAACTGACTAAAATTTATACACAAACATACATATCTGTATACAACATAATACTCTTAACTATAAGAATACGTATCTATGCATCATCTGTTAAAAATTATTCAACATCCTGTGAACTAGGCGAGAAAGTTGGTGATAATGATGATGATGATGAGGATGACTGTGGTGGTGGTGATGCTGATGCTGGTGATGGAGCTGGAGCTGGAGATGACAATGTTTCGGGTTTATAACATTCATTCAACAAATTATTTAATATTTGCATACAAATTTTATTAGCATTTTGAAATTCTGGACCTAATAGACAAAAATTAAGAAATGCATGTGGTAAATCTTCTAGTACACGAACATCAACCAGGATGTCTAGCTTGGATACACGTTTTGCCAATTCTAGAGCATCATCCAGGAATGGATCGAATTGGGAACACTAGAAAAGAGACAGACAGAAAGAAAAACACAAGAGAAGTCAGAGATCATAAGCATACGTTAAAATATCATTTTTTTAATGTAGGCATTAAGAAAAGGTTAAGCATAACAAGGCGAACAGTATTGTTTGGTTGACGACAGTGGTTAGCCGTGCGGAATCCAAGAGGCGCATTCTGTCCGGTTTGGAACTCTTCATCTGAATGTACCTCCCTATATATCACCACATCAAACACCAAAGTGTTATCCACTAGGCGGCTATTGAGTAATGAGAGTGATCTCTTGTGTGCAACGGATATCCCCGACCGAAGGTTGCTACCTTGACATATCTCAATGACTCAAAGAGCTACCTACACTAGATGGGATGAATGTTCCTGCAGGTACTATCAGACCAGAAAGGTAGATCGGATAGGGGTTACATTCAAAGTAATTATCATAATATGAAGTGACACTACTGGCAAAAATACCACGAAGTATTCAACAGCTGCTTGGGACTGTCTTCATCAGTGTGTACCAAAGATTCTATCAAGGGCATCGAACCCGGAACCTTCAGATCACGAGACCACTCATTTTGCTGACGACAGAGGATAAAACAGCAGTGAGGTGTCCCCCTCAGATAACTAGCTGCTTCTCGGCTTTGGTGACGGGAGATACAAAAAGTCGACCGCCAAAATTGTACATCCCGATTTACCTTGCAGCAGTCTGTAGCCAGCAGTAAGATCCAAAATACAGGACACAAATCTAAAAACTAATCTTAAATAGACCATGTGTGTATTAGATAGTTGGAGGCAATCGGCAGGAAACCTTGCTTGACTTAGGTTTCGTGCTAGTTGGCATTCATCAGCAAGGCGTATCTGCAACCACCTTGAAGGAACTCATGTCCCTTCTGAGATTCGAATCCGCGTCACCCAATGCTGAAGACAGTGACATTACCACTAAGCTATTCGAGCCAGAAATTGCCTTTTTATGTACAGTTGCCCAACAACACTGTTGAGGTAATTTTCAATTTCGGATGTTATTAATTTTGGATGGAACGACATGGATTTATCGACGCAGAATAATGTTATTGATATAAGGATAAAACTTGGGGACTGTGGTAGTAAAGTATAATTCCATTATAGATAAAATTTTATTTTGATAAAATCAAACAGTGTTGTTATATAGAAATATTTACTGATGACCAATGTTCGAGTACAATTTATTACTGCTGATAATCATATCAACGTACTCACATAACTGTCTTCCTCCATTTATATTAGACATTTGAATAAAATCAATATAAGACATGCGTGAAACAGAATGGAAGATAAGGTACATTCGGAAATAATATTAGTTTTATCAATGAAATACAATGGGATGGGAAATAAGATGAGTGTTGTTAGTCAATAAGATGGGAAATAAGATGTTTTTATAGTAAAATAAATAAATAACTTGTTAGAACGTGAATTGAAACACATTTTAACGTTATTTATTATTATTATCCTCTGATTTGACTGGTGATAGTAATATCTTCCATATCTCTGGTGTTTGTGTTGAGTCACTTCTGTTGCATGTGTTGCGTTGGGTGCAGACTCAATGAACCAGGATTCAGTAATCCATCTCTATCTATCTCCACCTTCCTAGATTAACACCTTATTGTGCGTTAATGCATACAGTGCGATTGCTGAGTTTTTTCTAAATTACTTATCTTCGTGGGGTCAATTATTCTAACCTTAGCCAGTAAATTCTTATGTTCTGATAATCTCACTACTCCTGATCTACTAGTTTGACCTATGTAGTTGACCTCGCTCACAGTCAGTGTAAGGTGATTTGTAAATAATATTATTTTGTTTAATCGGGTCAACCAGCTCCTTTAGTCTACAGAGCTTATCTCACATCATAATATTATAACAAGCTATTTATTTTACTATAAAAACATCTTATTTCCCATCTTATTGACTAACAACACTCGCCTTATTTCCCATCCTATTGTATTTTATTGACAACACTAATATTATTTCCGAATGTACTTTATCTTCCTTTATGTTTCACCCAAGTCTTATATTGATTTTTATTCATATGTCCAATCATAAGTTTTTTTACTCATGTATATAAACGAAGCAAGAAAGTTGTGGGAATAGTGCCTTGATATGATTATGAGTAGTAGTGTATAAATTGTGCTCGAAACGTGGAAATCAGTAAATATTACTCACTGTGTACCAACACTGTGTGATTTTATCAAAATAAAATTTTTACACCCATAATGGAACAATAGTGATATAAGTATAAAACTTGGGCACTATGGTAGAGTATAACTCCATTATGGATATGATTTTATTTTGATAAATCACGCAGTGTAATACAGTAATATTAACTGATGACCACGTTACGAGCACAAATTATTACTGCTCATAATCATATCAAGTTACTCACACAACTTTTTTTCCTTCATTTATATACATGTGTGGAATTGACTAGATATTTGAATAAAAATCAATTAACACACAACCACACAATAGCATGGTGGGAGAGGGTTAAGATTCTAAGAAGTAATCTATGTAGGTGGAGAGATTGATTACTGAATTCTGCCTGGTTCATCGAGTCTACACACCCAACACACGCAACAGAAATGACTCAATGCAAATACCAGAAATATGGAAGATATTATTACCACCAGTCAGTCAAATCAGAAGAGGATAATAAATAATCTTAAAATTCTATTTCAATTCACGTACATCAGAGCATTATAACAAGTTACTTATTATGACTATCAAAACATTCGTCTTATTTCCCATCTGATTGTAATTGATCAATAACACTCATATTATTATTATTATTTCTGAATGTACATTATCCCATATTGATTTTTATTCCATGTATATAAACGACAGAAAAAGTTGTGTGAGTGACTTGATATGATTATGAGTAGCAGTAGTTTGTGCTCGAAACGTCATCAGTTAATATTACGGTATAACACTGTGTGATTTATCAAAATAAAATTTTACACCCATAATGGAACAATAGTGTTTTCGCTGTCTTTGGAGCGCTTTTTGTAACGTTTTGTACGTGTCTCAAGGTAATTTCGGATAGTTATACAATAGGATGTAAAGATCAATTTCATGCGTTCATACCACAACAAGTCAGTATTAATCGTTACAACATCGTCGATACACACAAAAAAATTAAAAAGCTTGAAGCCGTGTGCTTCACTTGAAACGTTAGGAATGGAAAAAAAAACAGCAACTGAATCTGAATTTATATGTAGATAACTGCATGAAGATTAAACTATATACACATATAAACTTACAACAATAGCCATAGGCGGCAGTTTCCGGAGCATATCGTCTGACGCCAAATACGGAGACATATAGGCATCTTGAGATAAGGGGATATTTCGAACACGATTTAAATCCGTAGGCGGTCGACAAGGCAGATGATTATTGCCAGCAGAGTGTCTCTCGTCAGTAGAGCAATCATTAGAATAGTGTAAACTCTCTTGAGGTAGATAATAATTTCCTGGTGCTGTACTACAACAACTTGATGGATTCGAATTGTAATTGTGTGATTCTATACAGAAACAGAAAGAATAAAATAATACAGTTAGGCAAATAATACACACCTAGTTTTGTCTAATTTTGCTCAAAACCTTAAAAATAACTATTTAAGGGGTTATCGAGCACTGGCGTGAGACCTTTGTTTTTCCCTCTGTTTGGATTTCTGGATTCCTATTGGCTGTTACTTTTATTGCTTCACTGAATTACTGCATTTTCAAGGTCATTCCGACCGTTTATATACAGAGTTCCTATTCAGCATTTTGACTGTTGTCTGAGACAGTAAAAGCTCTTTTATTCGAAGTCTGGCCTTTTCTTTTGTCTTTGTGTGTTGTTGTTGCTGACGTCCGATTAGGAGAGATTAGCCAACGCATTAAGTTAGTATTCGGTCAAATTCCGCTAGGTTGTAGTTTGAGTCATAACACAGCTAATCAGTAAGTGATCACATCAAAAGGAAATGGAAACCTCTTTGAGAAGTCGTGGAAGCAGACTGAAGTGAAAACAGAGAACTTACGGCAACGGAGAACTGTTAGTAGTGTGGCTCTATATTCCACTCGGAACGCAAACAATGAATGAATAATATTAATATACTTCACCATCAATTAGTAGTGTTCTCTGAGCGGGTTGGTTTAGTTGTGGGGCTTTCATCGTCCTTCTGGACAACATCCCCCTTCAGCGCAATTTTTAGCATAAAGTGAAATGATTTAAATTTTTTTTTCCATGAGTGATAGAATTGCGTCTCCTGGTAACCATCATTTTCTATTGACTTAGATCTTAAACTTTCTGGTCACATGATCTACTTTTTATTAGTTGGTATATTTAGTGTATATTAACATGTTTGTTAATTGCATATTCGTTTGAGTACCAGGCTTCTAGGAATTCTCTGACAGTTTTGATGTTTCCTCTGTCTAAAATTTCGACATTATCCCACCATCATCGTTAAGTTCTTCGAAAAGAATACACAGAATTTTAAGGCATCAAAGCGTGATTCTACTCGACGTTTCGTTGTATATTCTTTAGCTTCTTCGTCAGAATTGTTGTTAACATGAATACCAACAGTCGAGAGTGGGTACACTTTGGTCTTGCTCACGAAATACTCTCATGTGACCACATGCGTTCAGAGCCTTGTCATCAAGCAACAGGGATAGATACACACAGAGGAGGCGAAATTAGGTAGTTTGTGCCTATTTCTTGATCGTAAAATAGGGGTGGTAGTAGTGACGGGATAACGTAACTCTGCTGCACTGAAAGCTCTTTCTTTAGCACACCGTATAGACAGTGAGCATAATGTTGATATGTTAGTACAGCACTTTAGGTCATTTATCACATTCCAACTAATCTTAATTTTGCTTTACGAGTTCGTCTTCTACGTACAACTGAAGTCATCGGAATCCACCAGAAGAAGCCAAACCTTCGTACAACTACTTTCCTTACCTTGGCTATCGTTGCATGAATATATAAACGTGACTACTTCGTCCCCCTCCCCCTAAACCTTTAAAAATTATAATTGTTCAAATTATTTTATTTCTCTTTAATTACCCATTACGCAAATGACCCAAACACTCGCTTATATTCCTTAATTACTCTTCATTTTTCCAAAATTATGCATTATGCAATCCACTTGTTGCAACCATTTCTATCCTTTAATTGCGTGTATTAATTTTCTTCGTTAATTATCACCCCATTGACATGTTGATACTGATTAATTATTGTTAACAAACACATCAGTGCCACTTGATTGGTAAAATGTTGTGTATTGTAATAAAAATGCTATGGACATATATTAGAGTAGAGCCAGAGATGAGGATCTAATTGAAAATTAAATATTTCTTCGCTCAATCCTTATACAGACGAAATACTTAATTGCGACAACAATCAACCAACATCGCGCACAAAAGCAGTTGCATCCAAGAAAAAAATCATTCAAAAGAGCCAGGACGCGCTTGCTTCAGCACTCCTGTCTTGACGAGAGTGGAAAAGAATTATCGTATGACTGTGTTGTCCCCAACACCAAAATAAATGGATATGTCCACAAAACTTTATCAAAAGATCCCTAGCATCAACTCGATCGATCAACTCAAAAGTCACTCATCTGAGCATTTACAAACATAAACTGTCTTTCTGTCAAAAAATATAATAATATCCATTCCTTCATATCACCAACCAATTCAACTGGGAAACTGTACAAATCTTAGTTAGATAAAGGATACAGCCAAAAAAATGTCTGAAAATTCCTAGAAACTCAGTAGTACACAGACGCATATCTACAAAGGTCAGACTTTTCAACTAATTTAATTAAAGAATGTCACATGAATCAATAAAAGTCACAGTCCAAGTCAATAAAAAATGATCAATACTAATGCAAAATTAATAATAGACCACTCATCAAGTGCGTCAATTATACAATTTTTAAAAAAATGGCTGAAAAGTTGTCTTTGCTGAGCTTCTTCCTGCTTTTTTCTCTCCCTAAATGATATCAGTCAATAAGAATTCACATAAATTCATTTCATATTGAAGTTTATGCTGAAGATGTTGTCCAGAAATGACAATGAAAGCTTAGCAATAGAACCACCTACCCACCCACCCCAACCTCAGAGAACGCAATCATACCAATATCATCCATTTGACGTACAAATCTTCCCCAACATATCTAAGACATTTTTAGATAACGAAGTACATTGATTAGTCCCTAGAGAGTCATCAGTGTTTCCATGAGTTTTTTTGTAGGGATTTGATTTGTTTCGATTTTAACCACGGATTGATATCATTTAGAGAACTATTGAAAGCCACCAGAGAGTACTGCCAGACAGCCGTTTCGTCCTGGTTTGGGACTCACCGACAGTACGCACCTACCACCGGGGTTCGAACCCAGGACCTTCCAGATACAAGTCAAGCTTGTAAACCACTCAGTCACTGGGATCCCACTCAATGGCAATGAACTCTAACTTCTACCAATTCATGATTTTAGCACGATCATCAGCCAGTGTCATCGCCAAGTATTTGTCCTCACTCTTGACCAGATGGACTCCAGTGGTCACGACTTTCCACTAGAACTCCAGGCAACTTTGTCCTGCAGCCAATCACTAGCAAGCATCACATAGGGAGGACCCATCGGTCTCTGCAGGTTAGGGCTACAGAACACACATTCCAAAGTGGCTGCAACAACCAATAAAATCGCCAGACACAATTGAACCCGGAAATAGATGTCCAACATCATCTATAGCCAAGCATATTATAGAGAAGGGTCATAAAGTTGATTTCAACAATGCCTTTAAGCCAATATATAAAACAAGGTTAGGCCACATACTTAAATTCATTGAAGCCTTAGCCATAAAAAGACTTAAACCTGTCTTATATGTCCTGCCTTGGTAATCCAATTTAGAACCAAGGACCAATTTACTTCATAATATTTTCAACCCCTTCTTTGCCTTGCTTTTTCTCTTTTTCTCTTTCTTACTCACACCTTTTGTGTCTCCCTACCCATTATTTGTGACCTTGACCTGTACACAATCTGACCTGTATTGTAATTATTCATGCCTTCTTGCCTTCTATAAAAACTGTGTATGACAAGTACTCGTGTGTGATCAGAATGTCCGAAATGTGTTGCGCAAATACACATTACACGTTTCAGATAAACTACGTCTTCTTATTGTATTGTCGAAATTCATAAGGGGAACTAATTGCTTTAAATTTTTTCTAAGAGTTGGTTTGTAGGGACTTGATTTGTTTTAAGTTCTATTAACGGATTGATGTCTGTTAGAGAACCATTGGAAGCCACCGGGGAGTACTAGACAGCTGTTTCGTCACCTTAGTTTGGGGCTCTTCATCAGCATGCACCCCATATGTCATGTCTCAAGTTTTTGGGGTTAGGTGTTGGCTGAGACCTATCAGTCAAGTTTGCGACGTCGTCACCAAAATAGGTGACTCGCCAAATTGGTTAGGGCTAAATGGATGGAGGCTATAGATAAGAAACCATGAATTAAGGTTTAGCGCTTACTGAAGACACTCATCACCAAGAAACTGATATCCACACACATTTTACATGACATCAGTTGACAAGAGGTCCCAAACTTATTGAACAATGCTTAGAAAATTAATTTCTAATAGTTTTCATCCGAATGGCTACAAACGAGCACTAGTTAAAACTTCCGTTCATAGAGTCAGAATAATATGTTTTATAGAAAAGTTAGAGCAAGAATTTATGATTCCCGAAAAGATGTTGAAAAACAACGGTTATCCTTATAGATGTGAAGGCTCAGATGTCAATCACAGTGGAAAAAAGAAGCCTATCTTCATTCAAATCGATTTTAAAGATGATGTTATACTGCAGGAATATTTGACAGAAGATTGAACACCATACTAGCTAGAAACTATCCCTTCCAGCTAAGTTGGTCCCCGTACATCAGAACAATAAGCTCTCTGGTGCAATCAAAAGTCGATAGATACCCTTCTCATGTTAACTCTAACTGTGTACACAAATTTACTTGCATTTGTGGTAGCAGTTACATTTGGGAGAACAGAAAGAAGGGCACACCTCCGATTTTCTCAACATGTACCAAAAAGCCTACGTCTCAAGGGAACAAATGCTTCCAATAATGCCATTGCCAGACATCTCATCAATACCAATCATGAGGTGGACATCGGAAAATCCTCTAAAATAATCATTACGCGAAATAGCTCATTTCTCCTCAGGTTTGACGAAGCAATCACCATCAAACTCCTGAAACCCGATATATGCGTTCAGAAAGAAACAGTTATCAGTCTTTTCTTGACCTGGTAACTGGATGTCTTTATTCCCTCTTTCATTTGATTACGTAATCTTTGTCTTTAACCTCTCCCTATTATTGCTACAGTGTTACTTTGCTTGTCTCTTGTTTCTGTGGCATGAGTTGAACCGACTACATTCTTACTCAATTTTTGGTTACTCATCATCTTACAAATCAGTCCTCATTACTTAATTCCCTGACTGTTGTGTGCAAACATATATTTTTGTTTAAATGGATGGAGGATTTCATCATGAGATGAAATCGGTTAGAGAACCATTGGAAAAACTTCAGGGAGTACTGCCAGACAGCTGTTTCCTCCGTCCTAGTCTGGGACTCTTCATCAGTACGCACCCACCGCCAGCAGGTTCGAACCCACGACCTTCTGGTTACAAGCCCAGCGAGCTAGCTCGTAGACCATTAAGCCAATGGGATACCCGATTCAATGGCCAGTCCATGAATTCCAACTTCTGCCAATTCACGACATAGCGCAACCATTTCGCAATGTCTTCTTCTGATGAGTTACTGCCTCACCTACAACCTGCTGTACCCTACTGGTCACGACTTCCCACCAGAACCCCAGGTCACTGCCTACCTGAATAGGGCTAGCCGCTAGTGAGCATCAGATTAATTTTCAAGTATTGGTTTTGTAGGGAATTTGTTTAAACTTGAACTTTCTGGGTGAAAACTACATGAGTGTAATTTTTTTTAATGAGTATTGTTCATTAAGTTTGGAGCCTTCTGTCAACTGACATCATGTAAAATGTGTGATTATATTAAGGCTGTTCTGTACATAGTGATTTCTTTAGTCTGTAAGCGACAGCTGATGAGAAGCCAACGAAATAAACAATGATGGTACCATCTTATTCCGCTCAAACTCCCATTCTTGCTTTATTCAAATTCATAATTAAGCGAAATAAATGTATGCAACTACAGAATACTTGAATTTGAATACTCACCTGATTCATTCAACTTTGAAGGCTTACGATAAGTGTTAGGATTGGTCAGTGGTGTTATCGAGTGAGATCGTTGATTCAACAATAAGGATAGATTACTCGGCATAGAATGATCTCTATGATTTCGAAAATGCGCTTTAGCAGCATTTGAAGATCTGTGTAAATGGGACGACTTATTCGTATTAATGTGTTCGTCTATGTTAACTTCGCCTTCTTCTTCTCCTTTAGATGTACCATACCATAGTCTAGAGGCTAAACGTGACCATAATGGACTGTTTGGTGAGTTTTCTTTACTTTCAAGATTTGTAGAATTGTCAACAATTTTGGCATCAGAAGCAGCAGACGACGAAGAAGAAGAAGCATCTTCAAGATTTAAAGTGGCTTCATCAACTCCAGCGTAGGCTATAAACAGTAAAAAAAAGGAAGAGAAATGGATTACAGTAGAAAATGGTATAAAGGCATTTGTCAAGTTCTACAATAGCGTCCCAAGAGATACGAACGCACGAGTGACCTTGAGCCGACCAATCAGAAAAAATGGAGGATTTTTGCACAAAAAATTACGTATATTTACATTAAAAAAGCATGAAAAACACATTAAACAGGGTATTTTTGTCTAATACGAGATTAAAAAATGTCCCAATTATAATGGGGAGTGTCAGTTTTTAAATTAAACCAATTCCTGCACATGTAATCATCTAGATGACTAAAAATAACTTGATTTTGAGAGCCGTTAATAGCTCTTATTCTATTTTTGAGTCTTCCCCAGAAACCTTCTATTGAATTCGTATGAGTACCGGTTCTGGGATCGACGAAGTCATCAGAAAGAATGGTTAACTCGGTGGTGTATATATCCCAAATCTGATAATCGGTTATATGCCGCCCATTCATCCGTGTGAATGGTAGTGCCTGGCAAGACAAGCCTCTGAATAATAGGGAGAAGTGTGTCTGCACTCCTATCTGGAATAAGTTCGATAAATCCTTTCCGAATCTGGGTAAATTCGTAAATTCCCAGAACCCAAACGTTATTCGCTCTTGCACGTCCTCGATTGTACTTCTTCTTTATAAGGACCGTTTCATCGATATGAACGACCACACCGACTCCTCCTAACACTTGAGTAATACTATTCATTTTCCACGATGCTAAATCTCGACAAAACTGGAACCACTACTCAGTAGACGTTAACGTGTCGGTCGGTCGGTCGGTTTTCGACATAGAACTTTGCACATATGTGCGGCAGTTCAAGTCGCCACAATCTATGTAGCACGCAAAGCAAGAGAAGGAAGTAGAAGAAATGCATAATATAGACAGTAAACAGAGGTGTGAGACAAAGGAATAGTAATAACGGAGAACAAAACAGTTTCATTGGAAATCATAAGTCACAAGGAGTGGATGCATCTGCGCCACTGAGAACGATTTTGAGCCATGTCACCAATTGTTTCCAACCATTGGTTTTTACCATCCCGAGGGCCCCAACCAGGAAGTCTACATCTTCCTACGTGGCTTAGATTAACTGTTGTGGATTTCATTGATTGGTGCCATGTTTTGGTTTGACCGCCGCTTGCTCTTTTCCAGCCTGACCCTATATCAGCTAACATTGCCCGTCGAGGAAGGCGATGACTAGGCATACGTAGCACATGTCCTAACCATCTCAGTCGAAGTAATTTCACAGTCTCGTCGATTGATTTCCCCGCCTTACCTAGCACTCGACTTGAAGCCTAACGTCAATATTGCTCACCTTATTATACCACTTCACACGGGAGATAGAACGCAGACACCTATGATCGAAGACAGCTAATCTTTTCATGTCTTCCACTCTCAATGGCCAGGTCTCACAGCCATAAAGGAGGACGGAGCGGACTGTTGAGCAGTACACACGCCCTTTGGTCGATAGTCGGATATCGCGTCTACGCCAGAGACGGCGAAAACTGGCGAATGCGAACCTAGCTCTCTGTATTCGTGCTGAAATTTCGTCGGAGATCAACCCGTTGGGGCTGATGGTACTTCCCAAGTAAGTGAAGCGGTCAACGTGTTCTACCACTTCGCTTCCTATTTCTAATCTAGGGGTCAATGAAGTCCAATCCTGCAGCATCATCTTACATTTTACAGGGGCGAATAGCATGCCAAACATACGGAGATTGTTGCTCAGGGTGTTCAGTAGACTCTGCATTTTGTCAGAGTCCTCGCCTAGAAGGACTATATCGTCCGCATATTCTAAGTCAACGAGATTCTTCCCTGGTAGCAAGTCAATCCCTGAGTCGCTGAAGTGAGTTAGGGTTAAGTCCATTAGTACATCTATGATGAAATTGAATAGGAATGGGGATAATGGGCATCCTTGACGGACGCCACTAGTCGTCACCACTTCAGATGACAACTCGCCATAAGCCCTCACCTGGCTGCATGAGTACGAGTAGAGTGCCTTAATCAGTGCAATGTATTTTCTTGGCATTCCCTTTACAGCCAAGCATCGCCAGAGAACCTCCCGGTCGACAGAATCGAATGCCGCCTTTAGGTCAAGAAATATAATGATTGTCGGACGCCGGTAGGAATGCCTATGTTCTAGAATCTGTCGAAGGGTGAAGATGTGATCAATACACCCTCTTCCTGGCCTAAAACCTACCTGGTTTTCTCGTGTTTGTGTCTCCCGAGCACCACTTAATCTACGCAGTATTATTGAGCCTAGGATTTTAGATACTATATTAGTCAAGCTAATCCCTCTGTGATTATCACAAGACGACTTGTCCCCCTTCTTGTATATCGGGATGATCAGTGACTTACACCAACCCGATGGGACTTCCTCTGATTCTCAGACGCTGCCTAGAACCTCCGTTAACGCAGACAGTAAACTGTCTCCACCATACTTAAATACCTCTGGAGTCAATAAATTAGGTCCCGCTGCTTTGCCTAGCTTCAGATTGGTGACAGCTTTAGTAACCTCGGTTAAGGACGGAGGACCTGTGTCTATCTCCCATTCAGGGAGGTGTTGGATGTCCGGTAGGTTAAGTGTGGCTGTGGGCCAATTAAACTGCTCCTCATAGTGTTCTTTCCAGCGCTCCAGACGTCTATCCTGGGAGCTAATTATGGTGCCATTTTTCTCGGAGATTGTTTCGCTTATCATTTGTTTTTTACCACCTGTTTCCCTGATAAGCCTGAATAGTTGTCTGGTGTTGCCTATCGCCGATGCTTTTTCCATCCCTTTCGCCTTTGTCAACCACCACTGTTCACGGTCCTTGAGGAGACTTTTCGTAAGTTTCCTCTTGTGCAGCTTTCGCTCCTCATTGAATTCGGAGCTCGCCAGAATAAGTCTTCTAGCATCTATCAGTTCGGATGAGGCAGTCGAAATCCAATGGTTTTTACTCACCTTTGGATTTACCTTATTCACAGCTTTTACAGCTGTATCTATGGCTGACTGAATATTCTTCCAGGCTTCTTCAGGGTGAGCGCAGCTGTCAAACTCAGATATGTGTTTAGCTAGTTCTTCCTCAAATAGGGACTTAGTTCCCTGGTCGAGCTGGGGACGTGGTGGGTTTACCGCCAGCTGTTTCCTACGTCCGTTCAGTCGTAAGCACACACGAGCGCGGACCAGTGCGTGATCGGTATCTACACACGTGTTCCAGAAGGAGCGACAATCCCCTACCGACCCACGCCAACGATAGCTTATTGCTATGTGGTCTATTTGTGTCCAGCGTTGATTTGATGATGGTGGTCGCCAGGTCAAACAGTGTCTCTCCTTGTGTTTGAAGTTAGTGCTTACAAGATACAAATGATTATCTGAACAGAACTGTAGGAGACGGTCACCGTTGTCGGTTCGCTGGCACGGAATTCCGTATGTGCCACCAACATTCTTCTCAGATTGACACAATTTCCCTACTTGAGCATTAAAGTCACCAGCTAAAACGACTATATCTGAGCGTCTAGCCTTTCGCAGCAAACTAGACAGCTTTTGGTAGAACTCATCCTTCGTTTCATCCGAACTGCAGTCAGTGGGGGCGTAGGCGGAGATTACGAAAAGGCATCGGCGAGTAGTGCAGTCCTTTCTCCTTTTCAATGATCCGTTCAGGCGGACAGCGCACATTCGGCTATCTACCGGGATCCAGTCAAGCTACGCTCACTGAAGCATTGTAAACCTGACCTTTGACAGCCACACTAATACCCTGGAGGTATCAAAGGTGGTCCGGGTTGGTGCATACCACCATGGTTTTACTACATGATTAGTGGTGTCATCTGTCACATCTCCTCCGCCACTCACACAGCTACCTATATACACGAACTTATCGACAACTTCAAGCGGTTCACCTGCCAGAGACAGTGCAGGTACAGGCTCCTGCCGATCTTATAACAATACTTGGCACTTAAACACTGCTAAGCACACACCATAATTACAGACACTGATCGCCAACTGGTTAAATGAGATTTAGGAAGCCTGCATTTTACTGCCTAGTAAGACAATATCGTCTGCATAATACAGGCTGAAAAGTCTTTCTCCGGGAAGCAGGTC